ACCTGGAGATTGGCAACAGCTTGTTTGGAGGGTGGGGTCTATGGCATATCTGTCTGAGGTCTCCCTCTTCTCAGACCCCACCCTCAGCAGGCTTCATCCCTAAAATATCCTGGAAGTTTCTAACCTGGAGTTGGCAACCCTATGTCCTTTCCAGGCAACCATCAGCCTACCATTATCTGCCTGTCTGTCATCAGGTTTACATCCCCTCCCCAGACTCTGCCTAGGGAAAGGGCAGTCCTTCCCTGCAGTGGGAACCAAAGCAGCTGACATCATTCTCCTCTCCCCCATATGATCCACACAACTACCCTATGAGGTATGTTAAGGTTGAAAGGGTGTGAATGGTCCATAATCCCCCAGGCAGCTTTTAAAACATGAACCTGGGACCTGCACACCATCCTCTGAAGCGCTCTCTGTGGCAGTAATGGGGTGACTGCTGGCACCTTTTCCTATCATTTTTCGCCTTGTGGCATTCTGCTTGTGGTGTGATCTGTCTTTTTTGTGGTGTGGCATGATTGTGTTATTGGGTTTGTTTCTTTTGAAGGGGAAGTGATGTGTTGCGAATGAGGACATATTTTACCTCAAAATACACCAGGTCCCATATTCAACTGACAATTCCAACTGTCTTGGGGGGGGGGGGGTTTGAGGTGGGGAATGGAGGGAAGTCCAATCACCTTCCATATGCAAATGACCTTGAAACGCTGGCCCAATCAGAGAAGAGTGGGCTGAAGCGGTCCAGCCCTAGAAGCCCTGTCCCTGCACTCAGTCTACAGATGGTCCTCACCTGTCAGAGGCCCAGAGCAGACTGAGCCGATGATGCCAGCCGGGGCTGACGTGGGTGGGACTACACAAAGCAGCCAGTCAACCCAGCCAGCGTCTTCTGACTGACAGTTCAATCTTCCAAACACTGTTGGTGTGCATTGGAATGTTGGGTCCCACTATGGCTTTATATATAAGGGAGAGATACCATTATAGTGCTATAGCGCTCTAAAGCGAACGTTAAAAAAGAAGCCGGAGATCGCCCACACGGGTGAAAAACAACGGGGAAAAGTGCATCGGAACTGGGAAAGGAAACTGAAGACTACTTGGATGCGGTTGACAGGTAAAATGCTTCAGCTCTGTTTCCTAAATGGGACCGAATCATTTTTGTGTGAAATTACAAATATATTCCGATAGGGAAACGGTTCTAAAATGGTTCTGTCTGAAATGACAGACCAGAAACTGTTTGGGAACCGTTCCTCTTCCAGATTAGATCATCTGTCTGAAATTCCTCCATATCTTTTACATTATTGTTCTTTTTGCAATTAATAACTAGAGGGGTTTCCACTTTATGTGCTGCTTTTGTGCTGTCATGATCAATGTTTATCTGCCAAAGTATCCAAGATCTGGAGCCATTGTTGGTGAATATTCACAAATTTAATCTTAAACTATTTGCTTCATTTAAATATTGCCACTCTCCCCCAAGAGGATCTAAAGCAACTGACACCATTCTCTTCTTCTCTATTTATCATCATAACAACCCTGTGCTATAGGTTAGGCTGAAAGTGGGTGACTGGCCCACAGTCACCCAGCAGGTTTTCATGGCAGAGTCGGGACATGAACTAGGTTCTCCCAGATCCTAGGTATGATGCTCTAACCACTTTACCAAGAGTCCCTCGGCTGAAACTGATGTGGGGACTTGAGTGTTTTGTAATGGGAATATTATTTACAGAACAATATAATATAATGAATCCAGCAATCATATTTCACTGAGGCTGGCAAAGTCATGTACACCCTAAAGACAAGGTAAATGTGGCCTTTTCAAAAGCAAGTGCACAAAAGTTGGCAAGAAAAGCCTTCTTGTCTGATCACCTACCATCCTGAACAACAAGCCAATCAAACAAGCAATATTAAAAAATGCAATTTTTTTTAAAAAAAGAATCTTCCATGTTGTCCAAGATGACAAACAGTCAAGAGGGAAGAACTGATGGAAAGGTGAACCAGGTGCCTTGGGGACATTAAAAATCCCAACATTTGCAACCATGGCAATGTGCTGCACCTTCACTGTAGTCCTGAAGAGGGAGTATGAGAATACATGTTTCAAAAAACTCAAGAAGCCTGAGCCAGTTTAGTAGCTGTGACAAAAGGCAAGTGTTTACAGATGCTGCTCCTAATTGGTAACTCAGTTGCAAATCGAATTAACTCCCTGTTTTTATTTATGTAAAACATTTTGTATATACTTAACAGTCCTTCTCTGTTTCGTTTTGCCTGTAGATTATTGTTTCAACTACTCAGGCGATTATTGTTCTAATCCAAACTACTGGTACAAAGGATTTCTGTCATTGCAGGCTAGCATTGATGCTGCTCTTATAGAAGTAAGTAGAATTGTTTGGTTTCAGTGCTTGTACGTCTCTTCTACTTTAATTGTATATAAACAAATTTGCAGCATTTTGTTAAGACACCAATGCCAGTGGTTTGCTGACATGGCAGCTGTGTTGCAAGTTGGCATCCTATGGCCATTTTGAAAAGGCAAAATCAGTGACAGAAACACCCAAAGGCAAGCTGCAGACAGCGTAGTGCTCACAACAGAGACCATGGTGACCCCTAAAACATCTACCAATCATGGAGCAGCATGCTACTGACACCTGATGTGGCTATGGCCCCTGGATGTCACACACCTGCTGCACTCAGAGGGGGAGCACCAGAAGGCACTGGAGAAAGAGTAGCCACCCCCTATACTCCTAAACACTCTGGATTAGAGATCTAGGCTGCTTTCACACATAGTGGCATAATGCAGTTTCAATGCACTTAAGTGATCATTTGCAACTGGATTTTCCAGTATGAAAAGGGAAATCCACTTGCAAACAGTAACTAAAGAGCATTGACAGTGCAATGTGTGCAGAAACAGCCGTAGTGCAACAGTCTGCTGTGTATAACAAACAAAGCAATGAGAACTACTTAAAATTTTACAGACATTATTGTCAGCAAGCTGCCATGGTGT